CATGTTACATAAAATTTTTTTAATGGAATCCTACATTTTTTATTGCGAATTCTTGTGGCTTATTTCAAGAGCTTTCAAAACACTATAATAAGATATTTTTTCGTTACAGGTACATTCCAAGTTACGAGGTTCGAAAGTTACGGTATGCCAGCATTTGCATTATGCAAGGTAATTTATTTCATCATTTTGACTCCAAAATATAAATAGTAGAATCTTTTTAATATATAGAAAAACTTGCTCTATATATGGACTTCTTTAGACAGTTTAAAATTTTATATTTAACATTCGTTATTTATTATTGCATTTAGTATTGATTATCAAATAATGTAATTTTAAAATTTAATAATTTATTACAATATTATAAAAAATAAAAAATAATGAATTTTCAAGTAACAGTAACGCGTTACTTTTTAAAGTAACGTTCTCAACTCTGTAATCTAATGTATTAAATATTGGTGTACTATTTATTATCAGATATGCAATTATAAGCCTTGTTTTTTTGCATTTTTAGGTGAAACAGCAAAAGGAGGTTATCCTTTAGAATGTATTCGCACAATGGCTAATATTTGTAAGGAAGCAGAAGCTGCGATTTGGCAGACTCAAATCTTTCATGACCTGTCAAGCAAAACTCTCCCGCCTATAGATGCCACGCATGCAGTTGCCATTGCCTCTGTAGAAGCATCCGTCAAATATTTGGCTAGTGCTATCATTGTTATTACAACATCTGGTCGATCCGCACATCTAATTGCGAAATATAGACCTAGTTGTCCTATTATTGCAATTACCAGATTTCATCAAGTTGCTCGACAAGCGCATTTATACCGTGGAATATTACCCTTGTACTATGAAGGTATGATATCAATAAATATTATTTAATTTTACAGTATTCTATAGAAAAAAGTAAAATTTATATATCATAATATACTAAAGTTAATTATCGTGTGAAATAAGGGCAATTGTAATCACAATTAATATTACCATATAGTATATCTATTCCCATATAATAGTTATTTATAAGTAATTTTTACATCATTTCTTGATTATCTGTACATATGTACGAACGTTTTGACTTATATTTAAGCTATCTTCAGCGCATATAACAACAAATTGAAGTCATGGATTCTTGGTGATTCTGAGGTGATTGCACAATTTGAATATTGAAAATGATTTTCTTAACCAGCTGTGTAACTGTTAAGATTTGTATTGTAATGGATTTTGTTGAAAAATTGTTTTATATGTATTTGTAATGACAGAAGTTTTTGCAACTCACCGAATCACACAAGTGAAGCTTTGTTACATCGAAAATGATATTAAATGATATTAAATGATAATAAAAAAATAATATTGTTTGTAATCTGCATTATAAACATATATTTAATTTGTAATATTATTTGTATATGACACAGAACAAATTTTATTTTAAGAAATTAAATATATTGTAAAGATTATATCTGAGTTAGCCTATACGTGTAAACTGTGAATACAATGAAAAAAAAGGTGTGATCGCGTGATTTAGACAGTCAATCAGACTGTTTTATCTCTGTTACTAGAGTTATAGTTACACGACTAAACTTTTACGTAGTTAGAAATAAAATAACGATAAAAGTAACTAGTAAAATTGTTACCGTTAAACTCCAAAAATGTAATTGCGTTACCATGAACATTACTCAGAAGAAAATGTAACGTCGTTATCTATTCGTTACAATATTCGTACAATATGTATTAATTATTAGTAATTTGTAACGATGTTACAAATAACGCGTTACTTGCCAGTCCTACCCAAAATCGACTCGATATCTCATATCAGGGAGCCTTTCTTGCCTCTCTCTCTCTCTCTCTCTCTCTCTCTCTCTCTCTATATATATATA